GCCATTTCTTCAAGTTGTCATCCCTCCCCGCAACAGCTGTAGGTTGCGGTAAACCAATAGTCACATTTAAGATTTGATCGCTGGTGTTCCCACATATTTTATAGCCTAAAAGCTCCGACGAAAGCCGGTTAGCGTTAGGGTAACATGCAAACCAATGGCAGTTCCGGCTTGCGGCGGAAGTCACACCCATAATTCACACAAAGCATCATGGGGCGCAGGAATAAGGTGGATACGGCTTTACCGGCTCTTAGCTTATTTTGTTTTTTGTCAATAAGTTGCAAGTTTGCACATTCCTCATTGACATCAACGCAGCACAGGCCCACGCGGGATCTGGCAGCATCAGACAACATCATGGGACATCAGGCAGAAATCCTTTGTTATGAATGCTGTTTTAACCCAAACAATGTAATATATTATCTGGAAGACATCTGGCTAATGGCTTAAGGGCTCCAGACTAACAGCTGATGGCTAAGCATCACATAAACTCATTAAAATAACAATGCTAAGCATCTAATCATTTCCAGATCAATAAGTGAAGGTAGTGGTGAGTGTAGCTTCCTGCTCTATGCAGCATGAAAACAAACTCCCTCCCTTGGATTCAGTCACATTTCTCTGTCAGTTCATCCAACTTAAAAAATCCCATCTATCCTCCTCTGGTTTCAGGTGTTCCCCAGGGTTCTGTCCTAGGACTGCTTCTCTTCACCATCTGCAAGCCCAGATTTTAGCCTGGGCTTACCGGGGCTGCAGCCCGGGGCCCCTGTGAATCCCAAAGATTTCTGTGAATGAATAAGGTCAGAATGCCTTAACTTTATCACTGGCTAAGAGGATTTTGGCGGTGCTGTTGAAAAAATGTCTGATTTGTTCAGGCAAACGTCCATCATGATTATTATTGGTCCACGTTGGACGCTTCGTACCCTATTCTCACGATGGCGGACAGAATTAACCATCGTCCCTCTCCACTTCTCAAGACATTAGCCTTGCTAACAGCTGTTCTATGGTCCCACCTGAACCTGAACCTGGATCTGGGTCTGATCCGGTGCCTTTCTTTTTTTTAAAAAAAGGCAACATACCATATTAGACCAATAAAGTCTTTCTAATTAGTTATTCCCGAGATCTTAGTGGTTGTTTTACGGAATCGGATAGTATTTTTGCAAAGATTTGTAGTTCTTTAAGCTTATTGCATTGTTTACTTCCTGGTTCGGTAAAGGGGTCCTAAAAAGCCACGCCCACAGAAACATCAGTCTTTTCCAGCTGCCACCACCAGTTGATCTATAACACCGGTCACAAGTTGTAATGCGAACACAACCGTTCCGTTCCATGCGAAAGCGCCTAAAATGTCTCAGTAACGCATTGAGATTTCCTGCCTCTGCCATTA